ATTGCTATCGATATCTGTCTTGTTAGATGTGACGTCCGTGCGCAACTGGCCAATATTCGCCTTGTTTTCATCGATATCTTCAATGGCGTTTGTAATGTCCGTACGTATCTCCTGGTTCCCCTTTACCAGAAGCGCTGTTATGTTGTCCCACTTAATGTCCAGCGGGACACCGCTGGCATCACTGTACACGAGATCCGGTGAAATATCTTGCAATTCCTCCACACCGAATCCAAAATGCGTCTCGTCCATGTCGCGGGCCATCTCGGGCTGGTGGCGACTTTCGGCAGAATCGACTACCGAGCTGTACGCATTGTGTTTGCCCTTGTTAATATATGTAAACTCTTGCACGTCGAGCTGGCCCAGGATTTCACTGGCATCGCGTTCCATGCTAGCAATAGTTGCCTTGCCCTCTGTTACCGATGACACGTACGTAACCTCGCCCGTTGTGGAATTATACATGAGCATGTTGGGACTTGCGGCGTTTCGGATTGGTTTGATTATTAACGAGTTTGCCACCTTGTTTGATAGCAGAGTACCCGTTGCGTTCAGGGTAATCGAGTTGTTTGACGACGCATCGGAGCACGCATACGCACCGATTGCCACTGAATGTTCGCCCTGGTCCACCCTACCCGCCGTCACACCAACCGCGACGCAACCGGTCCCTTGATTCACACTACCTGCACGATCTCCAATGGCGATTGCCGAATCACCTTGGTCCGTTTTACCTGCTTCCATCCCGACCGCCGTTGCATAACCGGCCTGATTCGTCTCACCGGCTTCGCGGCCGATACGGACATTTCTGCTTCCTACTCTCCAAGACATTGTCGAAGGTTTTGAATTTTTTTTTTATTGTAGGGGTTTGTCCGCAAATGTGTCGGTGATACATTTCGGACATCTCTACAACAGAAAAAAAAACATTACGATTGGTCCAACACATACACACACACACACTTAGAAAAATGTACAAACCCAAAATCTTTTGATTGAAAACCGAATTCCCGGGCGCTCTCTACACACACTCTCTTGCCCGATAAAAATAAAAAATACACTAAACTTTAAAACCATGTGCGCCGTCCGCTTTGAAGCCCTGCTGGAAGAGCTCGAGGTCAATGTCCAGCACCAGTACCACGAAAAGACGCCCGAGTACATTGACGAGATTGCCCTGTACCTGGACCTCGTCGATGTCCTGACCAGCAACTACCTTGCGCGGATCATCCACATCTGCACCGGGCTCGTGGCCGCCGGGCTCCTAACTAGTGCGCTGGCCCTGCTGTCGGCCGCCGCGCTGGTCTGCGACTCCCGCTACGTCTGCGCCAAGCCGCGCCCGGTGCTCCGCCTCCACGCCGCCATCCTCGCGGACCAGACATGCTCTGCGTCCGATGCGCTCATTGCCGCCTGCAGGCTGGTCGCCCTGGTGTCGACAGACGACCGCGCGCACGTCGCCAAAAGCACGGACCTGTATGCCCGGTGCGCAGCCTTTGTTATCAAGAGTGGCCCCGGCGCATTCGAGGTGACCAAGGCCCTCCTACATGTGTTTGCGGACGCCGACTCGGTTACCATTTCCCATCCCTTCTGCCGCGTTCTGACACCCCAGGTGTTTTCGGCCATGTTTATACACTCGGTCGATAGCCCCAGCACCAGGGGCCTGCTGATCGCCATCATGTCGGCGTTTATGCACGACTGCCTGTTCATCCCCGAGCCCGAGTGGCCCGCGAGCCTGTGTCCCAGCGAGATCCTGGAGTTCTGCTGCGCCCAGGCCACCGAAACACGGTCCCACGGCGCCGTACTCGCCCGGCTCATGTCCGTTGCAGTGCAGATGCAGTACCACGCCCCGACGACGTTCTGCCCCCGCTCCATCAAGGCGTTCCTGGCCCTGGACGCGGCCAACACCTGCACCGTGCTCCGAGGCTCTGGTGTCTGGAAGATCGCCGCCATGTACGCCCAGTGCATGCTGAGTGCATCCGGCCACCTCGACGACACGCTGCTGCCACCCGTCGACCTCAGCGACATCGCCAGCCGCGTCCAGGCCTACTCGGCCTCCGACATGTACATTATGGTGTACGACCACGTCGAGGTCCTGCTGCTGCTGGCCAGGCTGCACCGGCTGCCGGAGCGCTACGTCGCCGCGCTGCTGGACCCCGGGCTCTTTGAGGTCGTGGCCGACGCCATAAACAAGCTGCTCATCACCCCCAACGCCCCCGTGGGTGTCCGACGCACACTGCTAAACACCCTCGAGCTCTACCTGTACTTTGCCGGCCAGTTCCGGCCCGAGATCGGCCTGCTGTACGCGCAGCACATCCAGCAGGCCGACCGCGCCCTCATCAGCCGGCTCGTGTGCCCCAGCCTCCTCGGCAAGGCCCTGCTGGCGCTGCCGGCCCACGAACACGTCCCAGGGTTCCTGTGCAAGACCACGCTGTACGAGACGCACACGGCGCTTGCGAAAAGCGAAATCGCGATCTGCCCGGCGCCCGCTTGAGACGACGAAAAGAAGAACAAACCAAAGAAAAGAAAGCACCCGAAACCCAACATGTACTTTTCCGGCGAAAACTCCATCTGTGGCACTATAGACGAGGACAATACGCTGTTCAAGATCTCCAAGCGGCTCACGTTCGATGCGCATCACGAGTTCGCCGCCCTCGACTATGTGTGGTCCACGCTGCCGATCCAGTGGTGGAGCATCAAGCCGCTCGAGGTGCGAGCCCTCGGTGTCAATGGCGACGTGTTTGGCGAGCTCGTCGACCGCCTCGACGAGCCCGAGGCCCTCGAGGACGACACGGACGACCTGTTTGACATTGACGTCGACAAGCTCATGGTCGACATGCTCTGTGTCGAGCGCGTCGCCCGTGTCGAGAACGCGATCCATGCGTCGGCGTACATCGCCATCCCGGGCTACGCCGCCCAGCTCCTTGGCGGGTTTCACAACCTCATGGCCAACCGTGTCACACACTACGACGCGCACAGCGAAAACGTCATCACGTCGCGGTGCTCGGAGGACCTGGTCTTTGTGTACGAGCCGCTCAAGCTGGCCATCCCTACCCTCGGGTCGTGCAACCACATTATCGACTTTGCGACCTGCTACACGCCCTCTGTGGACACGGCCTATTTTACCAGTCCCCTGGTGTTTGTCAACAGCAACTATTTAACCTACCGATACGACGCCCTGACCGATCTGCGGACCAGCATGATCCAGCTGGTGACGGACCTGGCCGACCGCGTGCAGGCGCAGCCGCTGTCGCCGCTGTTTGAATCCGACTACCAGCGCATGGTGGCGCTGTACAAGGAGCTCGTGGCCCTCAACCGGCAGTGGGACGTTTTCCACTTGGAGCGACACAGCGGCCGCATTGAGACGGGCTTGGCCAGCAAGGAGGAGTACGTGGAGCTCCTGCTGAAGGAGGACAACTCTGAGATGATGCACGTAATACAGCAGCTGGTGAATCTGCTGCAGTCGCACATCCCGAACCGCGAGTACAGTGCGTGGGCGGCGCTGTACAACGCCAAGACCAGGAGCCAGGTCGCCGAGACCGTGAACGCCGTCGCCGACGCGCTGAAGCCGTTTGTCGACGAGTGCCACGACCGCCTCTCGCAGACGTACTTCTGCCGCACGCTCGTAAAGAACCTCACGGGGCGCGAGGGCGACGAGAACACAACCAGGGCCCGCGACCGCTTCGAGTCGCTCGTGATGCTCGAGTTTGGCACCTTCCGGAGCATCGACGAGATCCCCAAGCTGGACTTTGCGCGGCTCCACGGGCTGCTGGGAGACTTTGTGGAGATTGTGGAGTTCCTGCTGGCCCGCGAGATCGTGGAGAACGAGCGCGTGTACGACAATGTGCGGCAGCAGCTGGGCTCGGACCCGCAGGCCATCTATGAGCAGTACGCAGCCGTCATCGCCAAGTACATCTACGTCCCGCCGACCAATATCTACACCAAGTTCTGCTTTAGCAGCAACCCACACCACATCATCGCGGTACCCAATACCAACAAGGAGCTCCTGGCGGCCCTCAACGAGCCCGCAATGACAGCCGAGAAGTACTACGCCACCCTGATGGCCAGCAAGAACCAGCTGGTCCCCATTGAGTCGAGCGCCGAGTACGCCATGTCGCTGTTCCCGTAATCCCTTAGTGTCTGCCGCCTTGGCGGTCTACGAACCGCTCGTACGTCGCGTTGACGCGTTCCCGCTCCCTGGTGATTTCCTGGAACAGGCGTGCAATGGTCTTTTCGTTCGACCGGTACTCGTGCTCCAGCTCCTTGATGGTACCGCGGATCTGGGCTAGCGGCGCGCCCTCTTCTTCGCGCAGGTTCTGCACGAGTCCAAAGTACAGGCGCTCGCTCCGGTAGCGATACAGGTCTCGCATGACACTGGTCGCCTGGCGGATATCGCTGATGTCCCGGGGCTGCTTGGGCGGCGGCTCGTTGGGGTTGCCAGCCTTGGCGGTCCACTCCGAGATGAGGGTCCGCATAACAGCCTCGTCCATGGCCGCGTTTGTGAAACTAGTGGTTGCCGCCTTGAGCTCCTGCTGCAGCGCCTCGTTGCGTTCCGTCAGCTCGCGGTGGGCGTCGATTTTCTCCTGCAGGGGTTCAACTGCACTCATTGCTGCTATTTTTTATCTAGGGAAAAAAAAAGATACTAAAGACAAAAAATAAACGTTGTAAAATAAAAAAACAATGGTTCTTGAGGACTTGGAGAGCCTCACAATGGACACCGAGGCCAACACAACGGTGGACCCCGCGTACATTGAAGAGGAGTTTCCTGAAGGCGTTGACCTGCTGGTGTACACCAGACATGTACACCGGCGGGCCGAGGTCATTGCCCGTCTGCTGGGAACGCATCTCGGGAACCCGTCCGCGCTCGGGGTCAAGCGCAACGTGCTGATAATCACGGACGCAGAGTTCAAGAACGCGCTCGACCTGCAGCGGGCGTCGATCCCCACTATCGATCAGCGCAGGTACCGGGTCATCTCGTCGCCGGCTCTGCGGGCCAACACCATCAGCAAGGACTGGGTCGAGGGGTTCATCTACAACCACGACACGCTGGTTGTAGTCGACGATGCAGTCAACAACTGCAACCAGAAGAACATGCCCAAGATCCTGGCATTCTACCGGACCACGCACGCGACCACGGCGAGCACGCTGGTGCGGTTTGCCATCATCAACCACACTCGCGATACCGCGAGGGCGTGCTTCTCGCATATCCCAAACATTAAGAGTCTCGAGAAGCCGTACAATCCCCGGAACAGCACAGTGGCCAGCAACACCGTCGTCCAGCTGCGGGTGGGCGATTCGGTGCTGGAGCACGTTCTGCGCAACCTGGCGCTGCTGTACGCCTTTCTGTCGAGACGCGACCCGACGCTTCTCAGACAGGTCGCATTGATCCACGCGGGCATTATCTTCTCCGAGGCCATGGCCAAGAGCGCCATGGCCACGCTGCTCGACACCTGGGACGAGCTACATCCAATGCAGTCTGCGATTCCCGGGAAGGACCTCACTATGCGCGTATCGCCAGACACTCCTAGTATAACCATTGACACGCTGGTAGAAGTCGAGTACGCTGTGCAGGTCGCACATACTCTAAAGGCCATAGACCGGGGCCTGAGGCAGTGGTTTGCGGCCGACCGGGCGGGGCGCCGGCGGGATGTCAGGGCGGAGGTCGTCAAGGCGGTCGCCGATATTTTAGACGCGTACCGATTTGAGGGGATCGCGGTGATTGTCCACGAAATCCCGCAGGACCAGCTCGAGGACGTGTGTGCCCTTGGCAGCGGCGGCGTGGTGGGCCGGGAGCGGCTTGCCCAGCTCGAGTGCGTTGCCGCCGCGAACGGGTATATCGAACGCCAGTCGACGGACAGGCGGTTCAAGGCGGCCATCGACCTGTTCCCGGCGCTTACGCGAGACCCGACTACGCTGCGGGTGCTGAGTGACACGACGGCCGAGACCTTTAACACGTACGCCTTTGACCTGTCGATCACGCACCCGGCGAACTTCCCACAGGACGACTTGTCTCAGACAAACCGCGATGGCACAATAGAGAGCCACCTGTCCAGCCTCATGCGGCTGAAGCCCAGCGCCAACATGTATACGTACAGGTCTGCGCCCGAGCACGGGCTTTGGCTGGCGAATAGGGGTTCGGAGAATGCGCTGCGAACGGCGTAAACGAGAAAAAATGTCTCGGCCAAATGTACAGAATACGTTATGCGGTGTGCAAAAAAAGTTTTCCAAAAAGTAAATAAAACAGCCACTCGCCCTCAAATTAAAAAACAAATCCCATGACCTGCTGTGGAACCCCCTCCATCGGGCACCCCGGCCACCGCCCTGGCCACGGCCGCCCCGGTCCCCACTGCCCCCCGGGCCAACTACCCAGCGACGAGGACTGTGGCAACTTCATAGTAATTAAAGCTCCGATTTGCCCTACTCCCTGCCCGACATCTTGCCCTACGCGACCGCCAAAGGTCAACTACTTTCTGCTCAAGTCTGTGTGCACCGAACCGCCAACCCCGCCTCCATGTCCTCCACCTCCCTGCACTAGCAATGTGACGTTCATGGACATGAACGGCAACTCGATCCCCAACGCAAACTCGGCGCAATTCCTGTTTGTGAACAATGGCCAGCCGTCGTACAGCTATAACAAATGCCAACGCCCCTGTGATGGATACGCCAAGTTCCTGCAGTACAGATAATTTCGTGAAATTGTTTTATTTTTTATTGACAAAAAATAAAATTACGCCGCCGCCATCTGACAGGGCCCTGTGAGCTGGAGCCTGCTAGACCCCGCTTGCCA